TCGGTTAATACGAAAATGAAGATTTGAGAAATCCAATCAGAGAACTCAGACGAACAGGGATGCTGAGGACAAGGAACTCTATATATTAATACAGCAGGAATATCCTACCATCCATCGTGATCATGAAAACAAAATGAAAATATCACAATTACCCTGTCATTGACGTGTGATCCAACGATCCGTCATGGAATTTCAACAACATGATCTTGGGCAAATTTCTTCAAATAATGCTGTAAGAAATATTGTCACAAATTAGGGTGCTTTGGGATTGTTTCTCCCTTAAGGTTGCCGCATTTGGTAAATGTGGCGATCATGTAATTTTTATTTTATTTTTGTCAGAAGCAATTTTATTTTATTTTTTTTTGTAAAGTATTTGCAGCGACACCAACAAAACAAAAAAAAAAAAAAATTTTTTGACAGCCTTCAATTCTTTACTTTTTCTCATTCTTTCTACGATTTCTGATCTATTTGTTTCCTTTGACAACAGCCATTAGATTACTTGTTTCGGACCCAGAAATATACACCACAGTTTCCATTGTATGGCAACTGACCAAGTTTTGAAGTATTTAAACTTAGACATTTAGACAATTCCGACTTAAAATAAGAGAAACTTTTCATTCATATATATTAGACGATTTTAATTTTTTTATAACAAAACATATTTCATTAATGGATTGCTAGAAATCGTCCAGTACAATTGATAATACATCGTTGCCTCTTATGACAGATAAAACATGCACAAACTTTTCATTCATACTAGGGGGGAGTGCCCGCGCATCGCGCGGGTGTTTGGTCCTTGTGGGGAAGGAGGTTTTTTTTATTGAACAAACAATAGTACATTGTGAGAAGAAATAAAACTTAGTATGAAAAGATAAACGATATAATCAATCAATTCACACAGCGTTACTATAAACTATATCAAATTGAAGGTCGTTGATAATGCAGAAAGGCAGAGCAACACAGAAAGCTAACCTTATTCCAGAATCTTCATCGAGAGCTCTTACTTGCTATTGCTGCAAACCTATAAAATTATAACCAACTCAGACCAATTGGGGTTAGGCAACGCGATAAGAGTCGCTAATTGTAGGTACTAAGAACACACCGACAAAATTAAGGGAGGAACTGAAAAATTGGGGGGGGTGACATCTAACCTCACGCTGAACCACCAGGAGTAGCTGGGACTGAAGGCATTCTGAGCTGATTAGCATGAAGCCGGGTAGAATTATTTCAATCCTAAAATGCGAACAGGGAGAAATTGATAATCAACAGTTTAGGCATTAACATTAGGGGTGGCAATTTCCGACATGACCTGAAAACATGATACAAATCTAACACGAAATTAATGGATTTGGGTTGAAATTTCGCAGGTTCGGATCAGAATCGGGTCGAACCTGATGGACCCGAAAAGAAAATGAGTCGAATTTGGGTCAACCCGTGAGTGACCTGATATGACCCGATAACTAGTTTTATGAATTAAAAATAATTTAATAAACATAAAATTATTTTATCTAACTAAACTAAGTTATTCTTTTTTTTCCAAAGCATTAATCACTTAGTCCCAAATGAATTTATTTAACTTTGTGAGGTTGAAATTATTATATTTGGACAAATAATGTATTATATTATTTTTTACTTTTATACTGTTTTAATTTATTTTATATTTGGTTTGGGATAAAACACTTTTACAGTGTTTTAATTTATTTTAGATTTGATTTGGGATTATTTATTTAAATTTTTATCACTTGATTATGTAATTAGTCTTGTACAAAATAAATTTTATTAGAAATTACAGTGATAAATTAATAAATAAAAATTAAGTTTTGAGTCATTTCGGGTTGACCCGCCAACCGCCAATTCGAAATTTTCGAATTCGTGTCAGGTATTTGACCCATTTCGGGTTGGCGAGTCAGGTTTAGGTTAGCGGTTTTCTGTTACACCCGAGTCTCAACCCGACCGCCAACCCGAAACGGACCCGATTGCCACCCCTAATTAATATACCAAACGGTTGAGCAATTGAATTGGGTGTAATTAATGGCGAAATAATAGGTAATTTCAGAGTTGATCTCAGATGAGATGGACGAGAAACGATAAGACAAATCGTTGTAGACAAATGCAAAAATGGAAAACTTAACTCCTGAAACTGAAAAGGGATAAACTGACCAACGTTTGTGACTCATAAATATAGATTATAAATGATAGATAAATGGATTCCTACTATTGATAGAGAAATCGTTGGCTCATTTCCTAAATCCAATTGCCATTCAAACGCTTCAGACAAAGCAACATCTCAAACGGTTATTTGCAGTTGAAAAGGGAAATTATTGGTAGTTAAGGGATATTCCGGTAATTACACCAACATACAAGCATATATGGGTTGTACAAAATGCAAAAATGGTTGCACACTAATTAAATATTCCATCAATACCGAGATGCTCATCAATAACAACTTTAAATTTAAAATGGGGTCATTTCAGTAAACATACCCAAATACATGCTTCCTTAATTGTACCTAAAGATTTTAAACTAATACACAATATTCACATTTTCAAAAGCCCACCTATGCGGTTGAAATTCAACCTATTTTTTGACCAAAACTCAATCTTATATAATATAAGGATATATTAGACGATTTTAATTGGACATTAATTACTAAACTCTTCTAAATAATTGCCATAATTATCAAAATAGAATTGCTTACACAAAATTAGTCCACACATGTGGTTGGCTCCTATTTTTATTTACAAGTATTAAGTCCTCAACTAAGATGACAAATTATACGCAAAAGCAAAAAATTCGAGAAAACATGTATTCTTAATTGCGCAAAAAATTAGTAGTACTATTGAATAATCATATACTTTGCAACTTTTAATAATTACATTAAAAAAAAAAGAAACAAAACTAACACAAATATTATGAATTTCAACCAAGTGAATAAAAATAATTCCTAAGCAACAACCATCAATTTTTTTTTTGTTTAAATGTTGAATGTTATATAAATTATAGCAAACATGTAAACATTGGTGGTATCATTTCACCTTTGAAAATTATTTTTTTTTTTCAAAATTTTTTAAACGACACCACTTTTGTTTGATCCCCCTTTCTTGGTCAACCATTTTGTTTTTAGATTAGCACGCAAAAGAAGAAAACGACGTTTTGCATTTTTAGTGGTCAAACCACTTTCATTTCCGTAAACGCCACAGAGTTTTTTTTTTTTTTTTTTTTTCAAAGTCAACTCAGCATTTCATTTTCATGCATATTTACCTTCCTGCTTTAACCTGCAAAATAACTTGTACCAATTGAATACTTAGTCAATTTGCCTCCCAAAAAAAATAAAAGAAAAAAGAAGAAGAAACCAAAACGACAAATGTTGTCTCAGTATAATAGTGTGTAATATACTCCTCTCGTGGAATGGTCAATAGCTAATGTCAAATTAGTAACAGTCAATTGTATTATTTTGCATGCGAAATTTATCCCCTGGAGAATATTCAAATTGATCGTTTGATTTTTCCTTCCTTCTGGGATCACCATTTCACTTAAGAGTAGTTGCAAGAAACAAAATTTTGTCCTTACCACATAAAACAAAAAAAAAAAAAAAAAGGAGAAGTAAAATTTTGTCTTCTTTTCTGTGGTCAAACTATTCGGAAAGTGAGCGTGGCATATCCAAACTCCAAATGCATGTTTCATATTCTTGTTTGAATTAATCTTCCGTACACTCAATATATTATTATCACTGCCCCAGGGCTGGCTCAGCTGATACTGGGAAAGCCTCTTTAGGTTCTGGCACCGAGTGATCGCAGTTCGATTCTTATTAACGTCTTGTGTCTGTTGGGGAGCGGGGGTACAAGTGCAGTAGGATTAGTCGGATCTAGATTATTATTTCGTTGAATTCCGAATGTCCACTGTGTCAGTAAAAAAAAAAAAGAATATATTATTATCACTGGATGCGTGATAACTAATTTAAATTTGAAATCTGAATTTTACATATATGTCATCTATCTGACTGCAATAGTGCATGCACATTATATTATACATTAGATTAACTTCTTTTTGTTCTTTGAAAACTTTCTAGAATGTCCTTAAACTACTCCTAAATTGTAGGTCCTAAAAATTACCCAGCTAATAGAATGGCAAACCATCAAGACTTAGATATTGTTATAATCAACTGCTCTGCTAAAATATTTAAATTACCGCACCAAAATGAATGAATAGGATAACAGACAGAAAGTGAACGGTGTCAACATCCTCAAACTGTTTATGAATCTTAAATAATCCTCAACTCAACTGTAGGTCTTATCATTCTAGTTTCCAAACTTTAGTGTTTGGATCAATGTGATCCAATCGGACCAATACTTTATTCTCTCATTAAAGAAACGAAACTCCAAACATGGTTCTTCTTCCATGCTGCCGGCTTCATTATATCTTCATCCTATAGTGCAAGTGCAAGGTGGCTGACAATATATTGGTTTCTCTAGTTGTTTTATCAATGGATTACTGTTTTAGTAAAACAAAAACAAGTCTAACTTTTGAATTGCTTTGTCAACCAATTCTAGAATGTAGACTTCGGAGATTTGGAAAATGAGCACCAGATCTTGCTGTGTGAAAGGTATAGGCGTTGACAATACTGAAAGTCTGAAATTCATACGTATCTTTTGGCTCGAGAAAATTGATTAAATATATATATTTTTTTTTTTTTGAGATGACAACTATTGTATAACCTATCTATCTTAGATTATTAGGGAGGGGAGCCTAAAGAGGTTTTGTGTTAGGGATTAGTAGGTACACACACTTTACTAGACCAAAAAAGTGTTATGACACAACTCTTAAATTTTTTTTGCTACAGGTGAAATTTGAACCCACACCTTCAGTCTAAGCAGGGTCTTAAGAGCCACCTTATGGCCACTGATTAAATATATTGTCAATTAGCAAATTACTAGTAGTAGACAGGAAATTGATACAATCTATGTAGCCTATAAATAGGTCCCTGGACTTTGAATAATATTGTCATGATACAAGAGATTGAATGGTCAAAACCATGACCAAGCTCATTCATGTCATTCTTATCTTTTCTTTAGCTTATGTGGTTCGATCTGATAGAACCCTGAATACTTTCAAGATTTTGCATGCTTCTGGACCCGAAGCTATTGCTTTTGATCTGACTGGCCAAGGGCCTTATACGGGTGTCTCTGATGGTAGAGTTCTCAAATATGAAGGTCCTGGAATTGGTTTTGTCGAATTTGCTCATGCTTCGCCCCTCAGGTAAGTTAACTACCTTTTAGACAATGATCTAACACTTTTTGAGTCATGAAATTAACTGGTAAGAATGACCCCCCCCCCCCCTTTTTTTGTTTTGTTTTTTGATATGGGGTTTTGATATTGAAGAACCAAGGAAAAATGTGATGGCACAGATGATCCCAATCTTGGACCAATATGTGGTAGACCATTTGTGTGGGATTCAACTACAGAACAGGTGAGCTTTACATAGCAGATGCTTTCTTTGGTTTGTGCAAGGTCGGGCCTGATGGAGGCCTTGCAGAACAACTTGCTACAAGTGCAGAAGGTGGTCCTTTCAAATGGCTTGATGGTTTAGATGTAGATTCGACAACCGAAATGGTCTACTTCACGGATATTAGCACTAAATATACTTTCAGGTAAAACTTAATTTTAACCCTCGTGTTTTACGTACATACATATTTACATATATATATATAGAGAGGGGTAGGTTCCAGGCTCTGGAAATTCAGTTTCCCTCTCTTAGAAAATGTTCTTTGTAAATTAATAAACTTTTGCTCCGCAAGAACTTGAAAATATATTTATGTTATATGCCTAAGTTTCAGATTGGATTAACTCCATTTTGCACCCCTAACTGATATCACTTTCTTACTTTGCACTCTAAACGTCAATTTTAGATACTTTACATTCTAAACTTTTAATTTTGGATGCTTTGCATCCTAAACTCTCAAGTTTATCGTTGAAATCTAATCAATGACTATGTTCACAAAATTAACAAGATAAAGTGATGTGAAAATTAATGAGAATGTACTGTTTTGTTCCAACTACGATCCCTTAACTTTTTTGACCATTTTTAGCACATTAACATTTATTCATATGGTTTCAATTACAAGTATTTTTAGCAAAATTAATGAACCAAAAAATGGTGCAAATTAATGAAAAGGTACTATTTAATTTTTGCTACAATATCTTGACACCTTTTAATTACTTTCGGCACATTATCATTGATTTGTTGGGTTCCGTATGCCACTAATTTTGTACAAGTCGTCATTAACTAGACTTAAATGGAACAAACTCGAGAGTTTAGCGTGTAAAATATCCAAAATTAAGAGTTTCAGGTGCAAAGCGTCCAAAATTAAAGTTTAAGATGCAAAGTGAAGAAGTGATATCAGTTTGAGGGTGCAAAGTGGAGCTTGTCCATTTCAGATTTGTCAAACTTCACCCCTATGTATAAACTTTCTGATTCTATCTATGCCCACAACACTATAAATATGCATTTAATCATGACTAAGGTAGTCAACAAAACATCATCACCACGTATATTATGTAATGTTATAGCCATAATGCAAATAAATAATTGAGCAAATTATGTACAGAGAGCTGCCGCAAGCACTTTCAAGCGGTGACTCAACAGGAAGACTAATGTCATACAATCCGAAGACAAAAGAGGTTCAGGTGCTGCTGAGCGGGCTTCAGATACCAGGTGGTACAGGGGTCAGCAGGGATGGTTCTTTTGTCCTTGTTTCAGAATACACTGGACACAGAATCCTGAAATATTGGTTGAAAGGACCAAAGGCCAACACAGCAGAGGCAATCCTGAGCATCCATAGGCCAGATAACATAAAGAGGACATTGTTAGGTGATTTCTGGATTGGAGCAAATATAATCATGCAACAGCCTGCTCCAAATACGATTCCCCAAGGAGTCAGAATTAATGAATCTGGAAAAGTTCTTGAAACTATCAATCTTGATGGAATATTCAGAAATGAAACCATCGCAGAGGTTCAAGAATTTGCTGGTTCTTACTATGTCGTGTCCATTCGTCGCAACTCTGTTGGCATTTGCAAGTGTTTTGTTGAAGAAATGGTAGAAAGTTGTTGGGTATTAGGTATGATTGGATAAAAGAAAACTGCAGCTAGGACTTCCATAATGCTCTAGTCATGTATTCCATTTTTTTTTTTTTTTGTCGAATTGATAGGATGAGTCATGTATTCCATTTACTTTAGTCAAGTCTTAACAAAGTGTTATTTCCTTGGTTGCTGACCAGCTTTTTGACATTTCCTTTTGAACATAACAACGGACAAGAACAGTAACAAAAGAGTTCACACAAAAACTAAATATTAAGGGTAACATACAAAAAAGTCCTCGGTGATAAATCTAATATACAGAAAAATCTCCCGTGATTTCAAAATATACAACACGACATCCCGTACTTTAAATTAAATTATAAAGGTGACGGAATCCGTTAAACTTAATAGAATGACTTATTGAAACCTAAAAAAAATGTTTATACCTAAGGTTTAATTGGGGTGCAGCCCTAAACTTAAGGGCTGCTTCCAAATTATTGGGGTGCAGCCCTAAACCCTTACAATTTATAACCCATACAAAAATTCATAAATTGTTAAGGGCTGCTTCCAATTTTCAAAATTACATCCGTTAAACTTTTTTGTATTGTAATTTTGAAAATTGGAAGCAGACCTTAACATACATGTATCATAAACCCTGTTAGTACTTACTTTTAAGCTGACGAATCATGTTTAAGCAGTCTCAGAGTGACCATGCAATTTCTCCTTAAAACCTTGCGAGATTCAACACAAGAAGTTGCAACAGATGCTTAAAACCTAGAGTTCCAATGCCGTGGAGAAATAAATTGCAATGAATTTCCTTCTGATGTGATTGGAACTCTTTGAGTTCCTTGTTTGCACTCTTTTAACTTTGCTGATCAATAAAATGAGCAAATTTGACCCCAGAAAAAAATGAGAAAGCCATGGGAAATCAAAATATAAAAGGGTTTCTTCACCATCACAACTGCCTTGATTCCTCTGTGGGCAACAATCCACTTTCCCACCAGTAAAAGCAAGAACTAAAACATTCGAGTTAGATGTAAACAACATTTGTAGTAAAATACGTGTGAAGGGAGATTTGACTGAAACATACGGATTGCAATCTAGGCCGTCTTAGAGACCATGGAAAAGTGAAAACTAAGTGTTTATGTTTGGAGCTGGTATGTTTGTTTCTGGTACTAAAACAAACTGAAACGCTCTGTCAAGGAAAATTACCAGGAAAAAAATGTAACTGGGTTCCAGTAATAACTACATTTTCACAAAAATAAAGGGTCAACCATCAACCTCATATTTTTGATGAAAAGAAATTACCCAAAAGAAAGCTGAGGAAAGAGGGCAAAAGGAGACATCCCAAGCAATGGTCTTTCTAATTTCTATGTTATGGCAAAACTTCATACTATGTACGAGCATCTAATGATCAGGTTGCCGGAATTGGGGAAGTTGGAACTACGCAAAACTCAAGGGATTGCATTTGGGATCGAAAGGAAGGAGAGAAAAAGGGCTTTGCATCAAGAAACAGCACTTCTCATTAATCAAAAAGCAAAAGGCAAACAAGAAACAGCACACGCTGGAAAAACTTACTAGCACAAAAAATGCATCAACTCTTAACATATTCAGTATCATGAGAAAAGAAAATATAATATCAAATATCAAAATCATCAAACAATATAGCTACGAAGATGCTTTAATTTTAACAGTTTCAAAGCCTATTGATTTCGAAACAGACCTAACGTTCTTCCATGGATTTTTTTTCAACCTCCAATAACAGCTCATTTTTCAAGCTTCAAAAGTCTGGTTTCAATATGCCAGTTCTGAAAATTGTTTACCAGGATATTCATTTCCAAAGTCTGCACATGTGAATAACTTCAAATGCTGCTGTAGTACATTTCATCAGATGAAACGCCACCATCTTCATGTACTGCTGTGTAGCAATCAAATAATAGCTTCATCTTCTCAGGATATTCCAACTTCTTCTTTCGGAAGCGCTTTGCAACTGGATTCACCTGAGACAAAGTAATAGGTCCTATATTTACATAATAAAAGAAGTATATTACTTTTACCAAGTCATAAATAGTAGTAAGTCCACCTTTATATACTCCTCCCACTGCTGCTGATTCCAATTGATCTTATTGGCTACTGGATCATACCCACCATTTCCAGCCTCTGCTATGATCTTTGACCAGACTATATATCTCTTCCTTAAAACGCTCCAAAAGTTTGATAACTGCGCCGGTGTCAAATCAATATTTGTTTTCTCTTTGAACACTGACTGAACCTTTTGCCATGATTCTGGTGTTAAATTGCCTGACCGACGGCGCCCCTTAGCTGCTTCTTCTAAACATGAGTCTAGGTAAAGACCAAGACGCTCTGGGTTCCAGGCAATTCTAGTTCTGTATGGCACCCCTACAATTATCAACTCTAGTAAGGAACCGTTCAAATTAAACAGTAGTTCTCTTACATTTATTCTTTGGGTTAGACATCATAGACAGATCACCAGTAGACTCTTATAACCATCATGAATGCGTTAAAATTCTACCATTTGTGGCATTACCCAGGAATGAACCATTTTAACACAAATTAATGGCCACCAACATGCATCAACCATAATCATAAAACAAGTACTTGACCCAGCACCCAATCAAAGTAGGATTGTTAATTGCTTTGCAGCTCAAATAATTTTGTTAACCAAGCATATGTGAACTTGTCATCAAATAAAAATTCAGGCAGTGAAACCTGTTTTACATTTTCCTGAACAAGGTTTTGTTTTCTAATATTTTTGGCACAACCTCCACAAAAACTTCTAAGTCATAGCAATCTACACCTATAAGCAAGATTAAGTTTTGCATCTAACATTGAGTCCCAACATTTTTTTTCTAACTTTAACTTCGTGAAACCTAAAAAGCGACAAACTTTATCTCTAGATAACTGTTTGCTGCTGAAGAGAATTTACTACCGACTTAGTAACAAGCATACTTACAGTAGATATGCAAGAATACCTCAACTTAAGAATTATTAGAGAGAATAACAATCTAAAGAATAAAGAGATACATTAAAGAGGGACAAATTGAAAGAGACAGTAAAAAATCTAAAAGCACCTTGAAGGGTTGAAAGAGCCATCAGGAAAGAAGATCAAAAGAAGTCATTCTCATTCAACTATGAGGATATTCACTCGAATGGGTGCTTGACAGAAAGATTAGAGTGACTCAACTCATGATTCCAAGCTAAGCATACTACGTTGCAACAATGAGTACCTAAAAATTAAGCTAAGTGGCTCTGGTCTTTAGCAATTTTCTTTTCCCACTACAGGGGGCAATTTTGGTGAAAACCTAAGTAATTGAACAATATTTACTTCTCAGTGTTATGTTTGTGAAAGAATATGAAAGTCTAAACTATCTACTGACACAGCATGGTTCCATTGTTCTTAGCCTCTTCCTATATTGCTCCATAAGCCCACTGGTAAATACCAACTAGAGCATAGTTATCTATTTTCCATCAAATGTCCTGATCTTGTTCCACCAAGTACTAAAGCATAAATACGTGCAACATCTGTCTATGGCAAGTTCAAGCTTGGTTTTTTCTAACCATGCATTCTGTTTCACTTTTCTGATAATTTTTCTTTCAATGCAGATTCAGGAATTTAAATCGTCAAGTTTCTGTAACACAGCAAACATTATTTATGTAAATTTAAAATTTGAACTACCTGGACCAGGAACACGAGATTTTGGCAGGTGTTCTTTCATGGAACCAACACTTCTTTGCCCTGTCTGTCTTTCTTATTTTTAAGATTTAAACTGGCCGGACCAGGAACATGAGATTTTGGCACGTGATCTTTCACGGAACCAACGCTTCTTGTACCTCGTCCACCCTTTTTATTTTTTACACCAGAAGGGCCAGCTTTGTTGTCTCCTCCAGCACTGACTATCTCCTTCTCCAGTCCAGAATCACCAAAGATGTCTACTTCAGAAGACCAATTTTCAAATCACTGTAACGCAATGAATATTATTTATGTATATTTAGAATTTAAACTACCTGGACCAGAAACACAATATTTTGGCAGGTGGTCTTTTGCAGAACCGACACTTCTTTCACCTCGTCTGTCTTTTTTATTTTTAAGATCTAAGCTAAGTGGACCAGGAACACAAGATTTTGGCAGGTGGTCTTTCACGGAACCAACACTTCTTGCACCTCGTCCACCCTTCTTATTTTTTACACCAGAAGAGCCAGCTTCGTTGTTTCCTCCAGCACTGAGTATCTCCTTCTCCAGTCCAGAATCACCAAAGATGTCTACTTCAAAAGACCAATTTTCAAATCACTGTAATGCAATGAATATTATTTATGTATATTTAAGATTGAAAACTACCTGGACCAGAAACACAATATTTTGGTAGGTGGTCTTTTGCAGAACCAACACTTCTTTTACCTCGTCTGTCTTTTTTATTTTTAAGACTTAAGCTACGTGGACCAGGAACACAAGATTTTGGCAAGTTGTCTTTCACAGAATGAACAGTTCTTTTACCTCGTCCACCTTTCTTACTTTTCACACCAGAAGGGCTAGCTTCACTGTTTCCACTAGCATCCACTATTTCCTTCTCCAATCCAGAACAAGCAAAGATATCTACTTCAAAACACCAATTTCCACAATATCTAAAGAGTAAAAAGCTCGCTGATGGCACTAAAGAATGATGCACAGAGAAATTTTCCCACCCATCTGCAAGAACGATGCCATTTCTTTCTTGACGCACTTTAACAGACCAGGAGCACCAGAAGAATCCCTTAAAATTGCAGTATCAGGCACCTCTTCCTCTATCTTGGACAAAAAGTGAGTTGGAATTTCCTACAAGTGAGTGTGGAAAGAAAAAGAATTATACCATTACTCTTGAGGATCCAATACTTCCAACAGACAAATATGCAGATTGTGCCAGTCAGATGGTTTGCAAATTCTTACTGGTTACAAGTATCTGAAGCAAGGCAAAAGAACAAAAAATACATATATATGATAGGTGAACTTAGCAATAAGCATTCTCTTTCTAACAAACGTGTGAAACTTGATGATAGATCATGTCTTTACATTCATTCTGCAATCGACTACTCAACACAAAATAGAATAACAAATTTTCTGTCCAATTATCAAATACTGCTCAGTTATTTGTTTTATATGATCATGGAGAGTATGAAGAACTAACAGCTACAAGCATATCTTCC